GCATATTCGGAAGTGCTAACCTGAATAATATTGTCAGCTAGCCACTCATCCACTTGCTTTTCGACTAAACATTGATCGGCATATGACATTCGACGCGGTCTCTGGTATACTGGCACCTCGTCTGACAAGATAATCTTCATTTCGATTGGCGATGGCTTCTTCTTCTCACTTCTGTAGTTCGTGATCAGGCTAAGTACACTTTTCTTTGTTGCAGTTGGTGATCGAGTTCAACCTGCAACTCCACACTCTCGCTACACACAGAGTGTAATATTTGTCCAATCTCCTTCGCCAACTCACTAATAGGTTTCGCCTCTTCGCTCGCCACTATTTTATCGCTTACTACTTCAGGCTCCGGGTTTTGATCTACAATTCTTTTCTTCGGAAACTTAACACCTTCTCCATCAATGACGACGTCCACCTGTCACAGTATATCCTTGCCCAAAATCGCGTCGTACAAAATATCGCGCTCTTTGGCAACGTGAAACTCGATATTGACCTCGACGCCATCCAAATCCATAAGCGCAGTGAAACATCCAAGAGTTTTGATCATTTTGTTTCCGATGCCATACAACATTTTAGTTTTATTTCGTAAATCGACGTATCCAATGTTAACTAGGGTGTCATATCTGACAACGCAAATATCACTGCCCGTATCCAACAATGCTGAAAACCTATAACCGTTTATCTCTAAATCGCGGAATAAACAAGCGTCCTTGGATACTGATTTGGCTTTTGGTTCTTCCTCACCATCGGTGACCACATTAACTCTTTTGTTTTCGCTCCTCTCTTCCGCTCGCGGTATCGTCTGCTTGCACTCATTTACCTTGTGACCAATTTGATTGCACGTAAAGCACCGAATAGCTGATTGAGTACATTGCCTGGCCAAATGCCCTTCTTTTCTGCACTTGAAACACGCCTTGCTGCTTTGTGCCTCAGTTCTAGTACTATCTTTCTCTTGCGGAGACTGTGGAATGAGTGCTCTGCTGCCTATATTATGTTGTGGTCCCCGACATTTCTCATAAACACGCAGGTCCTCCTTGAGATTCTCTATAGTGAGGGCTTGGTACCGAATCTGCTTGTTGGCGCGCGTATCAGGAATACCATCAATAAAATATTCAATGATGCTCTCATCATCCATATTTATCTGACTAGCGATCTCCATCAATGAGTATAGATACTCCAAGAAGCTTTCATTTACTCGCCTACGCCTATTCTTTAGCATGCGATGAATTTCATTTGCGCTAAATTTAACTCCGAATTCCTTCTTGAGGATGGACTTTAGCGAGTTCCAATCCTTCACTGCCCTCTGACTTCTTACGAATATCTTCGCCGCACCCCTAAGTAATTGCTTTCCGTAGATGAACTTTTGTAATTCGTTCCAATTAACAACGGCTGCGTTATCTTCAAACTCTTGCAACCAATGGTTAACGTCTGGTGACCCGCACCCCGAGAATGATGACAACGTATCTTCGATATCGCGAAGACTAAAATAACTCTGAGCTGGTATTGGTATATTAGCCGATCTATTTTCAGAATCTTCACCCGAATCTAAACTCACACCATCGCCTTCATCTCTGGAATGACCGAAGTGTTCTAAAAGAGCGTCCCGTAAATCACGTTTCCGTCCCCTATTTGGTAACCCCAAAGCTGTTAGTTTTTCCCTAAGACTGTTCAAATTCAACGCTAAAATTTCTTCCATGTCCATGTCGATGTCGTTTACAATATTCGATATGATAAATATAGATAAAATTCAAAATCAACTTCTTAGAACTAATTCCAAAGTATGATGGGTTTTTTGAATGTTTACACAGTATTTTAATTCGCTTCAAAATAGTTCCAATTTCAACAATGTAGTCACCAAATTCTATTCAAATGGTTAATTCGTTTGACAATTTTCACACTTTCAACCCTACTGGCCTACTTTCGTTAATTTATTAAATCGAAATTTTCTACTTCAGTTGAACTTTGCAAATCTCTGGCTCAATGGCCTTAATCAAATATTTCACTTAAATTAGAACTGCTTGACACCTCTGGCCTGGTTGCATTAACTCAGCTCCGATTATTTTAGCATTCGCCAAAATGTCCGAAAATCTCTTTTGCTTTTTTCAAGATTAAGTACTTTCAAATAGTTTTCTGAACAGCTGCAAAATTTACAAATCTGACATAAAACTTTCTTAAGGAACAACATGTAATTATCATCAGTGTAGTAAATTTATTTAAAAGTGGCTTTATTGCAAGCGCAGCAACTTTCATTACTTTTAGCCATAAACGTCTCCCCTCTGTCGGGCATACAACTTACTATGCAAACCTTTCCTATCAAACTTCGCTCAAACTTGTATGAAATCAATCACAACTCTGCAACGTTGCCAGAAATGTCAAACAGTGTACATACATAGTATCAAATTCAACTTATCTGTAATGATATAATAGTAGCTCCCGTTCATCACCTTATCCGCAGCTTCAAACCGCAACTCTACCGAACTCAAACCAACAAAACGATTCTCGATCCGACCTCCCGTCGAACCTTGCTTGATGAATTGATAGCAACCTTTTGGCACTTGCTCGCCCTTTTTGCGCACGTACATGCAATTTCTGCCGCTGCCCACTGAAGCTCACAGTCGAACTCTCATCGGCACAATTCCCGTCAACACAACGATTCTCGAAATCTCGCTATTAGGAAGGCCGGACAACTTCCAACTCAACTCACCCTCAAGTGGGACGCACTTCCACACAACTTCTCGATCCGACCTCTGTCGAACCTTGCTTGGGGAATTTAGTACTGCTGTACTGCTTTTGCGCACGTATGAACATACGACCTCTGCCGCAGCTCGCCGTTGCTTTTCTGCCCTTTGCTACTGCGCCCAGTTTTGTGCCGTTGAAATCTGCTACTGACCGTCCATTATTTGATGTGGTCTGTCTGCTCAGCCCGTTATTTTCTGGCTTCACTCTTCTCTGGTTCCGCGTGATCTATTTCCGCACGCACTACCTTTTAATCAGACAATTTTATGTAAAAGTTGACGCTTTTTACATAACGAAGACACGGAACTCTGCTGCTTGTTGCTTGTTTGCTGCGCACAGTAAAATGGTGTGCCGCTGCTTACTGGTGCAAAGCGCACGAAAGAAAATATGCAAACGCCTTCTGCTGCAACGTAGCTACGACCGAACAGAGTTTTTGCTTTAATTTATGTACTTTGTTTTGCAAGTTAACAGGGTTTCCCGGACGAGCCCCCAATCTGTGGGATCTTATTTACCGCCGTGCAAAATGAAAGTCAACCTTTTATATTTAGATTATAAAATTATTAAAACTAAGTTAATCTCGTCCGATCGGTTCCGTGTTTCGAATCTGAATAATCGTCCGTCTGCCTAACGTATGTTTTCGAGGGCCTCTTCGTTCAGTCAGTGATACCCATTTCTAATAAAGTTCGTTAAATCTACAGAGATGCATTTACGTTACGGTTTATAAGTTATGTCTTTTTCTGGTAGTCCTTTGTTCGTCTGTCAATCCCACATACATATGTTTTGAATCGCGGCGAAATGAATTAAAGCGACTTATGCATGCGTATAAACGTAGTAACAGCGAACTGGGTCAAGGCGCTTTATGTGTCGGTATAAACAAGGTAATAGAGCCTTTTGATTCTTATCATTACATACATTAGACATTTTATTTAACTGTTGAAATGGTAACAATTACATATACGCAAAAAGTTACTATACATTAAATTTTTGTTTTATAAAAATACATTTTTTTAATTTCACTTTAATTTAGACAGTGGAAATATTTTCTTTTTAAAAATGTATCACATATTTTTGAAGATTTTCAACGCTTTCAAAAAATACTGCAAAACACAACAATGATCCTTAGGAATAATAAATAAGCAATTGCCTTTTCTTAAAATTTCAGACCCTTTAATCGATAATAAAGAAGCAATTGCTTTTTATTAAAGGTTTAGACCAAGGCGAATTTATATAAGGTGGTGTTACTAGCTCAGCTGATTTTGTGTATGTGTTTCGCCGCACGGCTTCTGATATCAAATTGGAAAATTTTGTTTGAATTTCTACACACACTCTTACAGATTTTGACAGTTTATGCCGCCAAAGCAAAAACAAAATACATGTACATTTTTGTTTTTGTACTCCTGCTATCACCTTATATTAATTCGCCTTGTTTCAGACCTTTTATTCGATTTGTTCAATCAAATTTAAAAAAACGGTTTGAAATTTTAAGAAAAAGCAATCGCTTATTTTTGAATTATTTTATATACTTATTTTCTGTCTCAAAATGGCTTCTCGGCCATGCGGTGGAGTAAATTGAAAAACGAAAAAGAAAAATATTTGAATAGAAATTTGTTTAAAAAACCGATTTAGTTAATAAAAAAGGAGATTGAACATTAATCATGACGATAATGCTTCACTAGACGCCAGGCCAATAACCTAAATCATCAAACAAACATTCGCTTGCGGATGCGGAAAACATCGTCCGAATTGTACGTTTGTCTCCAATTTCTTTTATTAATAAATTTAATTTAGTTTATTTCTACTTGCCGAAAATTTCCAATGGTGCTGATTGCTGCAAGGATTATTTAGCGATTTGGAGCATAATCAACACAATATATGCACATACATATGTATTATTTCACAGATCTCAGGGTCAGCTTAGATATACGTCACCAAAATTATATAAAATTTAAGTAGGAATTATTTTTATTTATAACGTAAAACCGCTATCTGACCCAATCTGATAAGTATATTTCCCCTAAAGTTAACCCATTTTATTTACTCACACTTTGTCTTTCGTGAAAATATATGTTTTATTTAAAATTTTCAGATATGTACATATATTTTAAAATTTTTGCTTTAATTTTTGTCTCCATTTAATATTTAATTAGACACGTTAAGTTTAAAATAAGCTTAAAACGAAACAGCACAGCAACCCTTTTCTGTTCATCTTGAGCACACAAAATCCTCTTTTGTTAAAATTCGGCGCTGCACAAAATCCTGGCTTTTATACTTTCCATCAACCACTTGGCAACCTTGGATTTTCACGAAGCGTTTCATTCGGGTCGTAGTTTTGCAACTTCTGGCCATTCGGTGTTGTATGCCATATTGTTCACACTGTCATCGCCATATTGAATACCCTGTCAACTATTTGTCAACCCTAAGATATCTCACTTGTATTCTTCCACAATGGCACTGACTTTTTGCATTTCAACGACGATGTTTGTTACGTTTCAGGTGACGATATGTATATAAATTCAAAACTTTTAGCCGTGTGTCTCGATTTCTTTTTTGAGTTATGACACAATTGACGTAAATGAGCGATATGTATTTAGTTTGCGATTTCTTACTTGTATGAAGAAGTTCTTAAAAGTTTTATTATTTTCCTTGATCGTTCAATTCCTCCGCCACAAGGAACGTCCGCCAAAAAATCTTTCACAGCTAGTTGAAGGGTATGAGCTGCGCACTTAATAGAAGTAATTGACAGAATATTGATGTTGTTTGTCAATTCTTCCTCGTTCATATCATCGGTACCGTCACTTTCATCATCAAGCAAATTAAGAAGCTCTACTGTTTTCACCATATTCTTACCATTATCGGTTGTAACCGAATAAATTTGGGACTTTCCGATATCAAATTTCTTCAGACTATTCTCCACTTCAGTTGTAACATTTTCAGCAGTGTGCCTCTTAGTCAGTTCTATCATTCCTATAATATATATTCGCAGCTCCAAGTCAACGCAGAACTGAAGATTAACTCCTAAAATGCCTAGATCACAACATGTGGTAGTGTCTAGTTTTAGTGACATTTTATTTTTCACAAGGGCTTTGACTTGTGAAAAGTTGACTCGTATTTTGAGCAGACCAAATCATGAATGTTTTTGGAAGACACTGCAGGTATCCCTAGACCAGAGAATATCTGCTCTGTCAAGATTTTAAATGTTTGCGAATCCAAAAATTGAAAAGGTAACTTTTCGCTTGTTATCATATCAACACATGCATTTTACACTTCATTAATGTTCATTTCCACATTAAATAAAATTTTTTTTTTTAAACCAGCCTCCGTGTCATCAGAAGGAGTATCTTCAATGGCACTTTTATATTGTTGTGGATGTTTTTCCCTCAACTGCCTTTTTAAATTGCAAATATAATTGCCTTTCAATATGTTTTTGCAAATAAGGCAAGTTGACTCATTTTTCGCAGAGTCAAATGAAAAACATTAACGAAACACACTTTCACGCTTTCGACCCATTTTACTATACTGATAATATTTTACTACTTATTATTCGTTAACAATTTTGTGCTTTCAGTGCCGTGCATGTGAGGGGATTATCAAGGGAGATCAAAAACATGTTTCAATCAGAGTAAAACGTTTTAAAAACGTAATTCGTTGCTTTATTGTTTGTTGAAACACATACTTATGTATGTAAGTATGTAGATTGACTGGTGAAAAAATACCACCTACATCTTTAACAGTTTTTTATTGTGATAAACTTTTTTTTATTAGAAAAAATTTTTACCGAAAAAACTAAGCGTGAATTCCGTCTAAGCGTTCGCAAGTTAAGTTAGAACACTATCTGGTTATTTGATGTTATTTTCAACACGCTCCCCAGGGTGAATATTTGGCACGTCACTCGTATGCATGTCAACGAAATAGTAACGGTATGAATTTTCATCAGTAGTGATAATAACAATACGATACCGTACGTGCTCTGTGGACACTTACAAAACCAGTTTATTTTGGCTAATTTCATACAAATAATTGCACAAGCCTTTGAACATATCGCTAACTTAGAATGAAAAGTTATTAAGTCTAGTTATTTAAATTTTACAGGAGGGAATAAAAACCTTTCAAACACATTTTCTTCAAGCACCTGTTTTGCATACTATTGTAGTAATATTTTTGAAAAGTTAATTTCGCAGTAGATTATTTGTTTCGAAATTGATAGAAACTTGTAAGCACTCTTTGAAGCTGTAAATGCAACCCTGCCTAAATTTTAACGAAACGTATCGATAAGTTTGAGAACGAATTCATAGTCGTTCTAAAAGCCGTTGTAAGAAGACGAATAAGTAAGCTAAGAGCAGATATTTACTGTATAAAAGATAGAAGAATTATACTAAGAACTTAACTTTATTTCAGATATTAAAACGCTCTCTGTAACTTCTGAATCCAAACCAAATTTTTAAAATAAACGGCACATGCTTTAGTATATTGGATTTTGGATTTCTTACACGGAGTGATATTTTTTAATATTTATTCCATGGAAAAACCGCCTACCACCGTTTATTTCCTATGAAAAAATATAACTTAAGAAGTCAAAAAACCGTCATGCAATCGTCAAAATCCTCTGAGAACAAAGCGGAGATGAATTCATCCAACGATGATGAAGCCGATGTCACCATAGTTGCACCCGGTGGAGAAATAAATGAGCTCCGTGAGATGGTGAAAAGTTTGCAAGTATCTGTACAAAGTGTAGAGTTAAGTTTGAAATAGCAGAGATTACTCGTCACTCCTGCCGACGAACTCGCTACTAGTATCACTTGTGCTGACACATGTACCTCTGTGGATAGCATTTATCCACGATTGAGAGAATACAAAGGTTGCGCCGATCTCGGACCGCTATTCCTCTCTTAACGAATTTGACAGAATCGTGGTTTGCATGACGTCACACTTGTGCAACTTGTTTACGTTTTCCTTGCAACATTTTTTCTTCTTCTTCCATTCTTGCTCACGTTTTGGCATTTCTCTCTCGCAATTGCACCAGTGTGACGTCACACAAAAGTTATTCTCAAAAATCCTCTCTGATCGGCGCAATCTTGTATTCTATCATTCTTGGCATTTATCCCTATGCCATCACTTCTTCCAGCGCCACAGGCGTCGACGCACAAATTAAGTCTCTCGGGTTACGTTACACTGCTGACGTGCCCAACACAGATAATACAGCCCCCAGAGTATGCAGAACTAACGCTAGCTTTGTCGGCGTACACCCTGTCTATGTCACATCTGGTACTAAGCAATTCACAACTCCTTCTATAGGTTATAGTTATAGCGCGTTGGAACATGTCAACTATCCGACTACTTTCAGTAACGTCAACAGACAGTCTCAAGAAGACTCGTCGCCACTCAATATACACAATGTTAACAGCGATTACAACCCGTATTCTATCAGAAGCATGCCAACACCGAGTTATGCATGTAACCAAACAGCCCCTCGTAAGCTCATCGATTTGCCAGAATTTAAAGGATCGCTACTAATCCACCCGTCCAACGTGTCTACAGTAATGTCAACTTTGGAGTTACATTACGGTCGGCCAGAACTTCTGATTCGAAGCCAACTGGCAACCGTGGTAACTGAATCAAAGATATTTGAGATTGTCAACTTTAGCAGCGTTGTGTCGAATTTAGTCGCTTTTCTGGAAAGCGCAGGTGCAAAGCCCTATCTTAGTGACCTCTCGTTATTGGATGAGCTCGTAAACAAACTTCCACTGAAGAAAAAAGAAGATTGGATTCGCCACAAATTTTCGACAAGTCAGCTATATCCCCATAAAAAAATTCAGTAGCTGGTTGCAAGAAGCTGCCATGTTTATTTCTATGGCAACAGAAATAGTCGGAACCATGATAAAAACATAGCAAGGTAGAACCGCTCTCTCATTTTATCGGCCATGATTTTTTTTGAAGTTTTCCAACATTTTAAAATCATATACAAGTGAAAATAAAAAATTTGAAATTGTTCGAAATTGTTGTTGCTTGAGATTGAAAATGAAAATGTGTGTGCGAGTTTGTGAGTAAATTTAAAAATTAAATTGTTTGGAAACGTCAAGAATTTTAAAAGTGACTCTCAGCGGTTCTACCTTACTATATTTTTATCATGGTCGAAACTACCGATCAATCATGTCACAAATCCAATAAGAATTCGAAGTCAGTGTTGACCGTGACTGCAAATAAGCAGGTATGTATTTTCTGCAAAGACGAACATTTTTTGTACCAATGCCAAAAGTTCAAGAGCACTGAACATACCCATCGATAGGAGTTTGTTAAGGCGAACAAGTTATGTTTTTGCTGCCTACAAGCAGGACATAATATACAGCATTGTTCAAAAAGCCGAGATTTCGGAGTGTGGTACAACAAAAAAATTTACGAGTACGCAGGCAAAGGCTACGCACGAATGTTGTCGCCAGAGGAAGCTGCTCGTGTTGATGAGCGCACGTGGTACTTGCCCCACTTTGTTGTTTATAATATAAACAAAGGCAACAAGCCCTCCTGCAAAGGAAAACGGCATGTCGCTGAATGATGTTCTTATGAAGGGTCCCGAGGAGTTTCAGCCAAAGCCGCTGCTATCAATTTTATATAAATTTCGGCAGGGTAAAGTAGCGGTGTGCGCAGATATTAGGGAGATGTTTCACAGGGTTAACATTAGGAAGGAAGACCAGAATGCCCAGCGTTTCTTGTGGCGTGGGGGAGATAAGGCGAAGTCTCCTGACACGTATGTCATGAATGTGATGATATTTGGGTCTATATGTTCACCATGCTCAGCCCAGTATATACAAAATATTAACGCTGAGAGTTATCGCAAGGAGAATCCAAGAGCTGTTGAAGCCATCATCAATCGACATTATGTGGATGATTATGTTGACAGTTTTGACACTGTAGAAGGGGTCGTCCGAATAACGAGAAAGTTAGTCGATATACATGAAGCTGCTGGATTTGAGTTGCGTGGTTTTGTTTCGAATTCGAGGCAATTGTTCCGGTCAATTTGTGAACTATCTGTAGATTTAGTAGAATCAGGGACTCAGAATATGTGTCGGGGAGAATCTGAAGCCGAAAAAATTCTTGGCATCCAATGGAATCCTAGGGAGGATGTATTGTTTTTCAACTTTCTTTTCTCCAGAGTACCGAAAGCTATATTAAACGGGAGTCGACGGCCTACCAAAAGGGAAATGTTGAGCGTGATGATGTCGGTTTTCGATCCGTACGGGTTTTTATCGAATATCTTGGTTCTTTCAAAAATACTGATGCAATTAGTTATGGCAATTAAATATCGATTGGAATGATTCTGTCCCTGATGAAGTGTATTGCAAATGGTATAAGTGGTTCGGAAGTCTGGAGAAGATAAAAGAATTCCGGATTCCTGGATGTTACCATCCAGAGATTGCCAATCCAAAGACAGAGGTACAGTTGCACATATTCGCAGATGC